AGTCCTTAAATGGACTGTGAACTGTGATCATTAATGTATTGACTCAGCATGTTTATAATCCTTAAATGAACTGGAAACTGTGATCATGAATATATTGACTCGGCATGTTTATAATCCTTAAATGAACTGGAAACTATGATCATGAATATATTGACTCGGCATGTTTATAATCCTTAAATGAACTGGAAACTGTGATCTTGACTGTATTGACTTAGCATGTTTATAATCCTTAAAGAAACTGGAAACTGTGATCTTGACTGTATTGACTTAGCATGTTTATAATCCTTAAGGGAACTGGAAACTGTGATCTTGACTGTATTGACTTAGCATGTTTATAATCCTTAAGGGAACTGGAAACTGTGATCTTGACTGTATTGACTCAGCATGTTTATAGTCCTTAAACAGACTGTGAACTGTGATCATTAATGTATTGACTTAGCATGTTTATAGTCCTTAAACAGACTGTGAACTGTGATCATTAATGTATTGACTTAGCATGTTTATAGTCCTTAAACAGACTGTGAACTGTGATCATTAATGTATTGACTTAGCATGTTTATAATCCTTAAAGGAACTGGAAACTGTGATCGTGAATGTATTGACTCAGCATGTTTATAATCCTTAAGGGAACTGGAAACTGTGATCTTGACTGTATTGACTTAGCATGTTTATAATCCTTAAGGGAACTGGAAACTGTGATCTTGACTGTATTGACTTAGCATGTTTATATTTCTTAGGAAGTTTGCAAACTGTGTTTTTAACTGTATTGAGTGAGTGTATTTATCATTCTTCAGAGGAGTTGGAACTGTGTTCTTGATTGTATTCACTGGGACTGTTCATATTTTTAAAGATGTTTGTGAACTGTGTTCTTGACTGTATTGATTTAGCATGTTATGTACCTTCTGGCGACTGTGAACTGTGTTCTTGACTGTAGTTAGCATGTTATATTCCTTCAGGGGATCGGGAACTGTGATATTGACTGTATTGAGTTAGCATGTTATATTCCTTCAGGGGATTGGGAACTGTGTTATTGAATGTATTTACTGAGCATGTTTATATTAAGAAATGTTTTCTTGCATGACTGAAATGCTTAATTTTCATCTGCACCTTAATGATGCATGTTTAGGGTCCAATGGGCTTACCTGGAATGCCAGGACGTGAAGGATCGAAAGTAAGAAGAACATTTCTTGTTTTATTTGCATCATTTTAACTTCTTGTTGAAACTATATTCTTCTTTTTATATTTAGCAAACTTGTGTTATTGTCAATTTGATTAGATATATTATTTTAAAAAAGTATTAATATTTTGTACTTTTTCAGACAATATATATATTTCTTCCAACAGAGTCATAAAGTTTTATATAAATGATATTGTGTTCATGAATAAGCTTTCATCCTATTTTTAAGACAAAATAAAAATCAAGAATTTGTAAGTTATCTGATGACTTTACCATTTAATTAAAACTAGATAATTTCTAGGTTTTACGACAACTTAAATGTTAATATATAGTTTAATAATCATTTTATTAGTACTCGTAATTGAAAACATTCTCAAAGTTTTCACTAACAATTTGTATACAATCTATATATAGTCTATTCAAACTGTTTGTTTCATTAATGTTTAAATAAACTCATTTATATAGTAAGTATGAATACAATATGTTCATTGCCTTATCTTTTAAAACAGAACTAAAAACTCTTGTAAAGTCTCATCATTATTTTGACTATGAGAATATACTGATACACTTTCTGTGATGTTAATAAAAATATAAAAACAAAATAATAGTTATTGTTTTTTAATAAAATTCCTTGAATATAATAGAATAATTAAAGTCTTCTTTTTATGAAGGGGCAAAAAGGAGTAAAAGGAGACAAGGTAGGTGAATGGATTCATAACATTATGTATGTAATATATATATATATATATACATGATAAAGAAATGTATAACTTCTGGAACAGTTTCATGTTTCTATAGGTTTTAGCTGTGTCTTACATAGTATTTTTACACTCATTTCGAGTTTACTTACTGGCTATAAACATTACATGAGAATGATCACACTAGTGATTGAAACGTCGTACTGTTTTAAATAATAATCTTCTTTACTGTACGTTTTATTAAAAAAAATATGTAAGTAGCAAAAAAAGTCATTGTTTTCACTTTATTTATTGGAAATTTTGAATGTTAGTGGATTTTTCCCTTTGATGCACTAAGGACATCAGTACATCTGGATTTTGTTAGCTGAAGGTAATGTTAGTGAAACTTCAGATATTAACGTCTGGTCAAAGCAAGATACCTATGTAGATCGGATCTAAAAATCAACCACATAATAAATATCATTTCTTATGTTATTAGAAGTTATTGTTTCATCACTTGTGTGTTTTTGCTATTAAAAATATTTACATCTGTAAACACGACAAGACAATTTTATTATTATCTTAGTAACATTTGTTCAAATTATTTTCATCTATCTGTCTACCTAAGGCACAAATGATTCTAAACCTGGCACAGAGGTTGACATGCTGGTTGGTCAGTTGTGTCAGTTCATACAACTCAATTTTCATTGAACATTATAAATACCAAAAATGTGCATTTTATATCTTAAAATTAGCACAGACACAGGCCTCTATACAATAAGTATTATGTCTTTGAAAGCTATAGAAATATAAAACTATTGACTACGAATAATCCAAGACAGCAATCGTTAACAGGGCTGACTTACAAGTATATAGCCTTATTATGTATGCGACTCCAAGACAGCAATCGTTAACAGGGCTGACTTACAAGTATATAGCCTTATGTATGTGACTCCAAGACACCAATCGTTAACAGAACCTGACTTACAAGTATATAGCCGCATTATGTATGTGACTCCAAGACCACAATCGTTAACAGGACCTGACTTACAAGTATATAGCCTTATTATGTATGCGACTCCAAGACAGACAACATACCTGTTCAAAGTGACACAAGTTACTTCTACAACATTCCTGTTCAAAGTGACACAAGTTACTTCCACACCATACCTATTCAAAGTAACACAAGTTACTTCTACAACATTCCTGTTCAAAGTGACACAAGTTACTTCTACAACATACCTATTCAAAGTGACACAAGTTACTTCCATAATATAGCTAACTTGTGTCACTTTGAACAGGTATGTTGTAGAAGTAATTGTGTCACTTTGAACAATGTTGTAGAAGCCTGTTCAAAGTGACACAAGTTACTT